CAGATTGAATTTGCTGAACCATTCCAGGTCCTATCTGATGAATTCTTATTTGCATTCCAGTACCTCGGCAATTGGGACAGCACTCTACTGCTCCTTTCTTACCACCTCGGCCTAAACAGTTTAAAAAGAAACTAAATTATGTTTAAACTCAGTGTTGGACATGGTAATGAATGTTTTAGTAAGTGAGTTCCTAAACACTTCATTTTTAAGATTTGCAAGGTGTGATGGAATGCTGCCTTAAGAACCTACAACTCAGCCTTTCTATTTGACAACATACAGCTGCAGTCAGCTTCAGTTATCTATAAACGTACACACACTGACTGCTGCTTTCCCAAGGAGCCATTTTAGAATTGTGAATTTTAAATGTGCTCCCAAATAACAATTCATAGAATGTACTTTATCTGTGAGATGAGAATTTTTTAATCTAAAAAAAAAATAGGACACTGTTTAAATCATACTACAGATTATGAAGCCACTGGAATGATTACGTTTTAGAGATAATAAGTACCTGTTTGAACAACATTTAGGAAAAAAGACACTAAGAGTGATCACTACTACATTTAAAAAATATATATATAAAAATATAAATAAAAGTGCCAATATTTTGCTAATATTTTTCTAGATGGTAGGTTTATGTAGTTTTCTTTTTATCTGTACTCTCCAATCTTTAGGTAGTGTATTTTTGTCAGTTTTTCATTTCCAGAAAGGCTTCAGTTATACTTAAGATGTTAAAAGACCATACCTCCGCCCAGGCTGGCTTAGCTCAGTGGATTGAGCGTGGGCTGTGAACCAAAGCATCACAGGTTCGATTCCCAGTCAGGGAACATGCCTGGGTTGCAGGCCTTGGCCCCCAGCAACTGCACATTGATGTTTCTCCCACCTCCCCCCAAAATAAATAAAATCTTTAAAAAGGACCATACCTTCACATTTGTCACAAATCACATTCTTTTGCAGAGCTAGTTTTCTGGTTGCACCATTATATAAATCTTCTAAGGTCACTGAGAGCTGATGCACAACATTTTTACCTAGAACAAAATATTGCTCATTAAAAATCTAAGAGGCTACATCTTATTTGTGTTCAATGCACCATAAAAACAGTAAAGAATAATGAAAGGTGACACTCATAGGGTATATCTGTTGGCTATTACATGTATGGGCAGAGAATGTTGGCCACATTATCCACACATGATTCTCAAACTGTAACATAATTTCAGACAAGGACAATTGGGTGAGATTAAATAATTTGCCTGAGAATGTAGTGGAGCCTTCTTCCAGATTATGGCAATCAAAAACATTAACTGCAGAATCACTTCAGAGAACCAATGTCATTTAAATAAAGGCACATTTCACAATAATTACTCCAAACTGCACTTCTGTCCTAATATGTTCTTTTAATCTTTCCCTCACTGGGATATTGAGAAACATGGCACATTACTTCATCCCAAAACTCCTTTAGCACACTAAGTTTTATGCTACAACAATCATGATTGACCAGGGAAGCTGATACATTTATTCAGCCTCCATAAAGTACCAATTACTAATTCTTCCAGGAGGGAACAGCACATTTACTGCTTGGCCAGCACTAGTTTAAAGATTTCTGCCCTGGCTGGTGTAGCTTAGTGGACTGAGTGCTGGCCTGTGAACCAAAGGGTGGCTCATTCGATTCCCAGTCAGGGCACAGGCCTGGGTTGCTGGCCAGGTCCCCTGTAGGGAGTGTGGGAGAGGCAACCACACACTGATGTTTCTCTCCCTCTTTCTCCTTCCCTTCCCGCCTCCCTAGGAATAAATAAAATCTAGAAAGAAAAAGTTTTTATATCCATGCTATTCAACATAGTAGCCACTAGTCACATGTGGCTTTTGAGCACATCAATGTCACTATCACAGACTAGATTGAAATTTTTTTTTGTCTGATCAATCTAAATTTGTTGTGGCCAGGGGCCACTGAGGAGTGCCGTACCTCATTTCAGAACGGAAAGTAGAAGTAGAGATCATATGAGGACACCAGCCAATGGTTAATAAGTAAGTCCCTAGCCAGTGGTTCTTCCACAAGGACTTTACCCACCACAAAACAGTACATGCCTTATGTCTAAGTGAAAAAAAGTTCTCAAACTCTTATCTGCACAACATGCCTATTGTGTACATTTCTAGTTTCCAATGAAGTGTGAAGTACCATTAACTATATTCTTCTGCTCCTAGCTCCATCTTTGGGTTCTGTATCATATAGTCCCACATAGGTGGTTCCAGCATGCTGTAAGCTGCCCTTTTATTTTAGCGTTAGAGAGTATATATAGAAAAAAACCCCGTTAAGTGTGATTAAGGAAGTGTTTTCTGGTATCACACAGACAGACCCTTCGCTGATCTAAATCACACGGAGGAGTTTCCAGTCAATTCATTATTAAAAAGATAATTCAAACAAAAAAACCGAAACAAAACACTACTATTCTTCTCTGGGACAAACCACCCTAAGTGACTGACTGTGATTGTAATACATCATTTTAAGACATTAAAAACATACCCCCTTTCAAGAAAAACTGAGTAAACAATTTCCAGTCTTTCCGAATTTTAAATAGCTCAAAGTGAAATTTAATGGCTTCCCTATTCCTTCAAAATGGGTTCTAATCATTAGCCCTTATTTGTGTAAACTGTACTGGGAACAAAGTGAAATCGACTCTCACCCTAACACTGTTTTCCTATGATGACTATCTCTACAGCCAGGAAACAAGATTTCTGACAAATGCAAAGGACACATATCTTCATATAATAAAAATGAAGCAATGATAAACAGATGGCAGGCTATTTGGAGGTAAAGAACCTATGTTCCTATCCTGACTACTGATGCCTTGCTACATGACCTCAAACTTTTAACTCTTTTTCAACCGAGTACCTCCCACTGGGTTGGGGCTGTCAGATAAGATCTGTAAAACTGGCTCTGAAAATTCCGTTCCTATACTTTGTTCCTTTAACTAACACTTAACAACCTTATTAAAAGTTTGTGTCCTACAACCCACGTCACTTGTTAGCACTTGAACGGCCTAGATAATTTTAGTTACATCAAATTTCATTTTAAAAAACTATACCATAAATCAAAAGGGCAGTTCACAGTTTGCAACATTATACCAACATTTAAAATAGGTGAATTCTCAAAAATTTGCTTTGACCAAGAGGCTACTTTGAATTGCTGCATGTGAGCTAGATTATTTTCTTACCTCTCCTTTCCCTTTGCATCCTTCCTCCTCCTCCAAAAAACATATCAAAGATGTCCATGGGGGAGCCAAAACCACCACCTGCTCCACCTTCTTTAATCGCCTGTTCTCCTCCTTTATCATATAATTCCCTTTTCTTTGCATCAGAGAGCACTTCGTAAGCTTGAGAAATCTGTTTAAACTGTTTGAGAAAAGTAGTGTTACGAAGCATAGCCACTATATTTGGCATACTAAATTTCACGTCGTAATGGAATTACCATACCCCTGGCAGACAACTATTCAAGCTATGTTTATGAGTATAAATATACAACTTGCCTTCTCTCCTTCATTTGGATTCTTATCCGGGTGGTACTTCAAGGCCAGCTTCCTGTAAGCCTTTTTCAATTCTTCCTGGGTGGCATTGGGTTTGACCCCCAAAACATCATAGTAAGTGGTTTCTTTCACCATTTTTGACAGCCTGAAATAAAAAAAAAAATGCAATTTTAGCCAACTTTTAAGTAGTAGTTGTAATTAGTCAAATCAGAGTTTAAAATAGAAAAATCTCTTCTTTGCCAAATCTGATTATAAGAACCCCACCTTCCCTGAGTTTCACTGAATAGGTAACAATTCCTGTGATAATTCAGCCGTCAGTTCTAACCACCTAAATACAAGCTAATAATTATCAGGGAACAATTCAAAAGCTTCCTTCTATTGCAGCTGGTTCCCAGTCTCCCACACGAAAGCCTGCATACTAACACCATTATCTTAATTCTTCCGGGTTTCCCTTCTCCCTCAGAGACAGAAGTAATCAAAAGGAGCACAAACAGGTTCAGTCCACTGCTTATTCCATTACCATCATCTTTGGCAAATCCCGTAACTCATACACTCCCTAGAAAAAAATACATCTGGATACAAAGTGGGGGAGGCAAGGAGTGGTTTATGAAACTGATGGACAATCCTAAGTGTGTTTCTCAATCACAGGACTCATAGCGCCTCCACGAACACCGCCGAACCCCTCACCACCCCCCCCAAGCCAGCGTAGCTTACACGACGTTTAGTTTCCCCCTGCACTAGGCGCTGGTCGTTAAAATTTTCTTCCTTTCCCCCTCTCACCACGGAGCGAAGGGGTAGGAGAAGCCCAGCCAGCAACAAAGAGGCCAGACGCGAGAAGCGAAACCATAGCCTCCACCCGGCTCCTCCCGCAGCCCCTCGCCCTAGGCTCCTTTTGCGCTTGCGCGCAGGGTCGCCCACCCCAAGGGAGCGCGAAGGGAGGGGGCGCGCAAGGAGGAAAAGCCTTAGGCAGCAAGTCCTTGGAGACCTCAGGCTGGATGAAGTACAAGGGAAGCTGTATGAAAGGTCTCGGGCCTACTCACTACGTGCCACAGATGGCTTGCCGGGGTACCACACCAGCCCTCCAAAAAGGGAATCGTGGACCCCAGAACCGATATCTCTCCCGCCCACGCGGAGCCAACCGCCTTCCCACCGCGGCTCCATCCAGCTTCATGGCGCCGTTAATGGCGCCGGCCTTGGGTCCACGGGAAGCGCGAGGGCTGAAACTCACCGGTGAGCGGGCCGAGGCAGGTGTGGAGGAGCGGGAAAGAGCGCGTTACAGCGCGCAGCTCCGAAAGCCGCCGCTCCTCCGCTTCTCACCGAGTGTTCTGGAAAGTTCCGCCCGGCGCGCCGCAGCCGTCGTCTTTTGTATCCGAGCCTAGACGCGTCACCCGCAGGAAGTCCCGCCCTTCCCGCCGCTGCCACCGCCCGCTGTTACCCGGGCAACAGCGCGGGGGTGCTCGAGCTGAACTGGGCTTTGCCGAAAGGCCTAGTGGGGGTGGGTCTAAGCTTGGGTTTCTGGCGCTCCTGGAACTTTCTGGAGCCCATTCTTCCACCGGGTCGGCCCGAGAATACGGGAGTGTGAGGCGAGAGCCGGAATTGCCCAGGACCGTGGCAGTCCCGAGCAAACTCGGAATTTTCAAATCAGTGGGACGGCCGCCGAGGCCTGTGAGGACGCGGTGGAACAGGACTGCGGGCGGGTACTCTGTGCAGAACGAGTGTCTCGCAGAACAAAGCCCTGCAGCACCTCCACCCTGCTGACTCTCGTTTGCCTCTTTCGGCTTCTCTTACAGCTTAGTTCTCTTGCCTCTTTCAGCTTAGTTCTTTAGTCCTGAGGTTCTGGGAACCCACTGAGCAACAAATGCTGAGCAAGGTGGGTCTGGACCCCAGAACAATCTCACAGGCCTTGGATCTTGCTCCTTTTCACACGCAGTCCCTGACCTCGTAATTCATACTGCGAGGTTAGAAGAGCTCTGCAAGTCCACACTCCTATGCACGAGTTATCTGTCTTGGGCCTTGCGGCCTCCTACACGTTCCGTTCAGGGCAGCACTAAACAGGGAAACATTTGCAATCCCTTTGTGCAAACTGAGGACGATGAACTCTTCCCTGGCCCGGCGTTCACCTGGCGTGGCGAGCCGGTGACACGGAGTAGCACCAAGAGTGACTGACAGATTGTTTTATTTGATTTTCTAAGTTCCACATATCTGAACTTGGATCTACCGTCTGCAAAGTGAGTCTCTGGGATTTCAAATGCTGGGAGGGGGGCATGTTGGAAAAAGGGGTCTGTTTTTCTTATTCACTAACACAACAAACAGGAATGCCACCTAGCTCCAAGGAAGCCGGAACTGGAAAGTTGAAAAAATCCTGTTCACATCTCTTAGACTTTTAAGTTGCAAGTAATTGGGTATAGCCAGACCTAAGGGAGCTGGAGTGGCAGGAGTTGAGGCTTCAGAGCTAGTTGGGTCACACCTCTTGTTTATCTTGTTAAACTAATGAATCTGAACTTTATCCTGGAGGCATCCCCATGTGTATCTCTCCAGCCTTATCTCTTTTATTTAAATTGTGTACACCACAGACGTGGAACTATTTGCAGTTTCCTAAATGCACTTTTCCACCTTTCTGTGCTCTGACCAATGAAGACCTAATTTTTCCAATCTTAGATGTTACTGTATCAAACACTACCTCTGCTATAAATGTTTCTTTCTACCCATCAGCAGTTACTGAAAGTGTAATACTGCCAGGAAGGGCACCAACTCTTGATAATATAAAAGTCATGTAAGTCATGGTGCCTGTCCTCAAGGAGTTCGCCACATAAAGAAGGAGAAGTGGTGTGATAAACGTCAATAAACGAAGAATATATTGGGGTGCTTAACAGGGAAACCTTGCACCATTTAAGTAAATATTCCAGGTTGAGAGACCAGCAGTTGTGAAAACATGAACAATTAAGAGATGAGCAAGCAAACAGTAACTAAATTATACTGTTTGTGCATTATGTAGGCATTGTAGTTCTAAAGTTCCTACTTTGCTGTAACAAACTACCTTTGTGAATCTAACACTGGTTAAGCACGTGAGATAAGCATCAGTACAGCAAAACAGTTCAAGAGTTTCCACAGTATGTATAACCAATTGATATCAAACATGAAGATACCCTCTAGAGACTGCCAACATAAGGCTATGAAATATTATATTGAAAATGCTTTTATAATTTGCAAGCTCACTTAGCTTATTTTTTTTTAATTTTAAGGTTCAGTAGCTTTTAAAGGGCTGCTTATTTTTATTTTTTAAAGGTTTTATTTATTTTTAGAGAGGGGAAAGGAGGAAGAAAGAGAGAGAGAAACATCAATGTGTGGTTGCCTCTCATGTGGCCCCCACTGGGGACCTGGTCTGCAACCCAGGCATGTGCCTTGACTGGGAATCGAACCAGCAACTCTTTGGTTTGCAGCTGGTGCTCAATCCACTGAGCTATGCTAGCCAGGGCTAATTTTTTTTATTAAGATTAAAAGTAAGGGGCACATAAGTTGAGTAAAAAAAAGGGAAAACCATGTAGTACTTATCTGCTTGTATGTGCATGGGATATTTCAGAAGGATTCCCCGAAACTTGTAATATGGTTGCCTGTGGGGAGAGCTGGGTGTGGGGGAGAGGCAGATGGAGGGAGACATTTCACCAAGTACCCTTTTGTAACTTTGGAATATTTAACCCATCTGAATGTAGTACTCATTTAAAAATTTAAAAACATCATTACATATGTTCAGTTTGATACTGTTTTCCTTCGTGAAAATTTATCTCATGCTGAAAATATGTCCTGATGAGTACTCTGGCTTTTCACTACTGGAAGTTAACACTTTTAAGAAGCATTCTTATTTACATAAAATAGAACAGGATTAACAATAACTAAGTATGTGGTTTTTGGTAAGGAAATGGGATCATATTAAATATATTGTTTGCCCCTTACCCTTTTTTATTTAAGTTATTGTCATCATGGTCAGACAATAAACCTACTGTATTTCTAATGATTTCATGGTATGTAGGATGCAGGCAGTATAATTTAACCATTGTCCTATTGATCAACATTTTGGTGATTGTCAGTGTTTTATAAACAATGTTAAATAATAAATATTGTTTATTGTTGAGAAATTCTCAAATACAGGTTCAGGCACTCATGCAATTATTTCTGTAAATGAACATCTAGAATTAAAATTGTTGGGCTCCGTGAATGCAGTTTTAAAATTGTGATAGCCCTCTCCGTTGTGGCTCAGTGGATTGAGTGTCGGCCTGCAAACCAAAGGGTTGCTTGTTTGATCCCCAGTCAGGGCACATGCCTGGGTGTGGGCCTGGTCTCCTGTTGGGGGTGTGTGAGAGGCAACCACATGTTGGTGTTTCTCTTTCTTTCTCTCTCCCTTCCCCTTTCTCTGGAAATAAATAAATAAAATCTTTAAAAAATATAAAATAAAATTATGATAAACAGTTTTCCATACTGGTTTGTATGGCCACCAACACTGTGTGAGTGGGCTTGCCAATATGGGGGATTCTTTTTTCTTTTTTTTAGCCTTTGGTAACTATAGAGATTAAAACGCGTTATCTGTTGTTTTCATTTGAGTTTCTTTCACAGTGCGGTGGTTAAGCATCCTCTGTCAGGGGTGTCCAACCTTTTGGCGTCTCTGGGCCACACTGGAAGAAGTAGAGTTGTCTTGGGCCACAGATTAAATACACAAACACTAACAACAAAAATATCTCATTATGTTTCAAGTAAATTTACAATTTTGTGTTAGGCCGCATTCGTAGCCGTTCTGGACCACACGTGGCCTGCAGGTTGGACACCCCTGTATCTAAACAGTATTTATCAACTCTGCTATGTCAGTGGTCCTTCTTGGTACTTGACCATTTTTCTATGGTGTAACTCCACTATTTTAATGTGATATAATAGCACTTTTATATTAGAGATAGTGTGTGTGCATGTATGTGTGTGTATATATATATACACACACACGCAATAGAAAGGTTTTAATTTTTATGTAGTTACTTTTCAAAAAATTCTAAGTTGATTTTTAGAGGAAGGAGAGAGAAAGAGAGAAGAGAAATGTCAATTTGTTGTTCTACTTAGTTCTGATTCATTAGTTGATTCTTGCATGTGCCCTGACTAGGGATAGAACTCACAACCTTGCCTTATTGGGGCAGTGCTCTAATCAACTGAATTACTTGGCCAGGGCTAAATGAGTTTTGACTCTTTCTTTTTGGCTTTTGCATTTCTTTTCTCCTCCCCCTTCTCCTTTATTTGTTTTACTAGAGAGCCTTCACCAATCCATTATAAATATGGTCTGCCAAATTTTTTCTGGTACTTTTTATGGTTCCATTTTTTACATTTAAATTATTATTATTTTTTATTTTTAAGTATATTTTATTGATTATGTTATTACAGTTATCCCATTTTTTCTCCCCTTTGTTCCCCTCTGCCCCGCACCCCCCTCCCACCAGTATTTCCCCACCTTAGTTCATATCCATGGGTCAGACATGTAGGTTCTTTGGCTTCTCCATTTTCTATACTATTCTTAACCTCCCCCTGTCTATTTTGTACCTACCATTTATGCTTCTTATTCCTTGTACCTTCCCCCTACCCTGGTCGGTCTTCCTCCCCATCCCTGCTGATAATCCTCCATGTGATCTCCATTTCTGTGATTCTGTTCCTGTTCTAGTTGTTGGCTTACCTTGTTTTCATGTTTGTTTCTTTATTAGGTTCAGTGGTTGATAGTTGCGAGTTTGTTGTCATTTTACTGTTCACATTTTTAATTATCTTCTTTTTCTTAGATAAGTCCCTTTAACATATTCATATAATAAGGGCTTGGTGATGATGAACTCCTTTAACTTGACCTTATCTGGGAAGCACTTTATCTGTCCTTCCATTCTAAATGATAGCTTTGCTGGATAGAGCAATCTTGGATGTAAGTCCTTGCCTTTCATGACTTGGAATACTTCTTTCGAGCTCCTTCTTGCCTGCAAGGTCTCTTTTGAGAAATCAGCTGATAGTCTTATGGACACTCCTTTGTAGGTAACTGTCTCCTTTTCTCTTGCTGCTTTTAAGATTCTCTCCTTATCTTTCATCTTGGGTAATGTAATTATGATGTGCCTTGGTGTGTGCTTCCTTGGGTCCAACTTTTTGAGGACTCTCTGGGCTTCCTGGACTTCCAGGAAGTCTATTTCCTTTGCCAGATAGGGGGAGTTCTCCTTCATTATTTATTCAAATAAGTTTTCCATTTCTTGCTCTCCCTCTTCTTCTGGCACCACTATGATTTGGATGTTGGAATATTTAAAGTTGTCCCAGAGGTTCCTAAGCCTCTCCTCATTTTTTTGAATTATTGTTTTTCCATTTTCTAGTTGAATGTTTATTTTTTCTTTCTGCTCCAAGTCATTGATTTGAGTCCTGGTTTCCTTCCCTTCACTGTTGTTCCCTGTATATTTTGCTTTATTTCACTTTGCATATACTTTACTTTTTCTTCTACTTTGCGACCATACTCAACCATTTCTATGAACATCCTGATTACCAGTGTTTTGAACTCTGTCTCAGATCGGTTGCCTATGTCATCATTGCTTAGTTCTATTTTTGGAGATTTGATCTGTTCTTTCATTTGGGCCATATTTCTTTGTCTTGGTGCACCTGTTATGTTGTAAGGCATGGAGCCTTAGGTATTTGCCAGGGCCAGGCAACCCATGTTCCTGCACTGTGGCACCGTATGTGGGGGAGTTATTAGAGAGGGAACAATGCTGATTGCTCAACTCCTGCCCTGCTTTCAGTCACTTCCTCTGCTGCCCACAAGCAACTTGGGCCCTTCTGGTGCTGATTCCTGGGTGGGGGGGGGGTCATGTACATTCTAGGACCCTGTGGGTCTTTCCAACTACCTCTCCTGTGAGGCTGGGAGTTTCTCCCAGTGCTGCAACCACCACAGATTTTTACAGCCAGAGGTTTTGAGGCTTTATTTCCCTACGCTGGAACCCTGGGTCTCACAGTCTGTCTTGCTCCCCAGTTGTTTCTCCCAGTTTATTGGCCTGCAAATGTGGGACCGCCTGGTCTGCCAGCCACCGCCTTGCCTGCCTGGTCCTCCAGCTGGGCCTTGCCCCTTGTTCTCTCTACCCTGGCTGCTTGTCTCTGACTTTCCTACCGGTCTGGATGAATGTGTCTTCTTTAACTCCTTGGTTGTTGGACTTCCATACAGTTTGATTTTCAGTCAGTTCTGGTTGATTTTGTTTTTAAATTTGTTGTACTTCTTTCAGTTGTGTGAGGAGGCAGAGTGTATCTACCTATGCGTCCATCTTGGTCTGAAGTCCCCACCAATTCTACATTAAAAATTTTAATATATCTGAAATTTATTTTGGTGTAAGTGCTAAGGATTTTTTAAAAAAGATTTTGTTTGTTTACTTTTACAGAGAGGAAGGAAAGGAGAAAGAGAGGGAGAGATACATCATTGATGGTTGCCTCTTGCATGCATTCAACCAAGGACCTGGCCTGAAACCTGGGCATATGCCCTGACCAGGAATTGAACCAGGGACCTTTCTGTTTGGGGGTGGACACCCAACCCACTGAGCCACATCAGTCAGGGATGGGTTGAGGATTATTTTTAAGTAACTGAGTTTTATTTTTGTCCAAATGGCGAGCTAGTTTGTCTAACATTATTTTATTTTTTCTGACTAATGTGAAATGCCACTTTTATTGTATACTAAATTTCCATTAAAATACATTTTAATGTTTGGGAGTTCCTGTCATTTCTTCTCCTTTTTACGTTTTCCTGGCATTTTTCTAGTATGTTTATTTTTCCAGATGTGTGTAAGAATATTTGTGGCAGCTTCTTTCCAATCTCACTGGCATTTTGATTGTGATTACAGTACTCTTGTATATCAGTTTTGGCACAATTAAAATATTTATGATTTTAATCTTCCTACCCATGAACAAGGTATACCGTGCATATATTCACTTTCTTTATTGTTTATACTTACCTGTTTTTTTTTAAACTGGGTCCTGATCATTTCTTCTTAAGTATGCTACTAGACTTTGTCTTTTTGTTGCTTTCATAAAGGGCCTCTTTTCTTACCACTGTATTTTATTTCAGTGGTATCTTGCTTAACTCTCAGTAACCATGTGACCAGATCACAGATGTCTGTGCAGGCAGATGGAGATGGCTGGAGCTATCGCGGAGCCAAGTTGTAAGGGCTTGAGTGTTATATTATTAGTTTGAATTTTATCTTGAAAGCTCTTAAGAGATACGAGAAGGTTTTAGGGATTGCGTGATATAATCTCTAACAGCTGACTTTTTTTGAGCACCCATCAGGCACTGTGCTAAACTCCTTAAAAATGTCATATTTTAATCCTCACAGCAACTCCGTTTTATGGATGATTTGGTCATATTTACATTTCATTTATTTATTTTTAGAGAAAGGGGAAGAGAGGGAGAAGGGGAGGGAGAGAAACATCAGTGTGAAAGAGAAACATAGATCAGTTGCCTCTTGTGCCCCAACCGGGGACTGAACCCACAACCCAAGCATGTGCCCTGAACAGGAATCAATTGGACCTTTCATTTTGTGGACGATGTCCAACCAGTCAACCCACACTGGTCAGCATCATGTTACATTTTAGAACAATCATTTGGGTGCTAATGTGAAGGATGGATTCTTAGAAATCTTTTATGAGAGAGATGAGATTAATAAGTGACAAGCCCTAAACAGCAGAAATGGAGAGGGAAGCAAATAGCAACACAAAGGGGAAATCTGTGGGTCATGGTGACTGGATCCAGAGGTGAGGGAGAAGGAGTCATAGCTGACCTACCCCTTTTTGGCGTGAGCAGTGGGATGGTTGGATATGCCCTTTCTGAGCTGAGAGGCCTAGAAAGAGGAGGAGGAGCAGGCTGTGTTGGGGACAGGAATGGGGAAGGGGGTAAGATGACTCCAGTTTTGGATGTGTAGAATTACTATCCTTTTTTTCTTTTAAAAAAAAATTTTATTGTATTTTTTCCATTATCATTTAGCCCCGTTATATATCCCTTTTTCTTGAATTTAAAAAGAAAACAAACATTTTATTGGAAAACACAAAATGGAAAGTAAATCATAGCCAAAATGCTATTTTTATGCTTGTACAAATTAATTGAAATTTCTTGCAGCATTTAGATTTTAATTGACTGTGGGGCCTAGTAGGGCTGTAAATTTTTTTTTTTAAGGTCACCAATTTGTTCTATTTTTCCTCTTACCACTGACTACACACAGTTTCAATCTTCTTTATGAGCTGTTCTCCCTTCCAACTTCCAATTGTTATTTTTTAAATAAACTTTTAATTTTAGAGTAGTTTTAGATTTATGGAAATGTTGAGAAGAGGGTACAGATATTCCTGTATATCTGGCACCTAGTTTTCTGTACTATCAACATTTTGCAGTAAAATGGTGCAGTGGTCACAACTAATGAACCAATCTTGATACATTATTATTGTTTTTTTAGGCTTTATTTATTTGTAGAGAGAGGGGACAGGAGGGAGAAAAAGAGGGAGAGAAACATCTATGGGTTACCTCTCACATGTCCCCAGCAGGGACCTGGCCCACAGCCCCAGGCATGTGCCCTGACTGGTGCACTGAAGTCAAACCGGTGACCCTTTGGTTCGCAAGCTGGCACTTAATCCACTGAGCTGCACCAGCCAGTGCTGGGTATTGCATTACTTTTAGTTGTCATGCCTCCTTAGGCTCCTCTTGACTGTGACAGTTTCCTAGATTTGCCTTATTTTTTATGACCTTGATAGTTTTAAGGAATACTGGCCAATTATTTTGTAGCCTACCCTTCAATTTGTATTGTTTAAAGTTTCTCTCATGGTTTGAGTGGGTTTATGGGTTTTGGAGAGCAAGACCACACAGATAAAGTGCTAATTTGATCATATATTCCAGGTACATGCTATGAACATGACATCACTATTGATATGCACCTTGATCACCTGGCTGAAATAGTGTTCTCAATTTTCTCCATTGTGAAGTTATTCCTCTCCTCTACTCCTTTTCCATTCTGTACCCTTTAGAAGGAAGTCTCATTCATCCTGATGTCACTGGTGTGAAGGCATGGTCTGGCGGAGAGTAGTATTAGCTGAACTGAACTGGGTTTCTATTATTTTTGAGTCTCAAAAAAGTTCTGCCAGAAAATTTTATCTACTTTATCAACAGGAAAATAAAAATTAGAGAATTTGAGTAACGTGCCCAAAATAAAAGTTAGTGGTCAAATTGGAATTTAAATCCAGTCTCTCTGAATGCAAAGCCTGTGGCCTTTGCGCATACCAGCTGGCTTTACGGAGGGTTGTATTTACTTTGGCCATCTTCCCTAAGTACTGGTAATGCAGAAGTATCTATAGATAATGTGGTTAGATCCTTCGTTAAATGGAAATTTAATTCCTCTTTTCAATTTAAAGTTATACTTTAGAACTCACAGCCTTGAATTGGGCAGATCTCTGTGCTCAGTATTGCTTGATCCAATTTTAATCTAATATCTTCTTTTAATTCCCTGTAGACTTGTGAAGGGTGGGTTACAGCAGAGCCTTACTGGGAAAATGGGTACCAGTTAGGGTGTTACCACAGTAGTATAGGACTGGCTACATAGTTTGTGAGACAGTGCAAAATGAAAACGTAGTGCCCCTTGTTCAGAAATTAAGAATTCCAAGACATTGACAGCAGAGCACTGAAGTAAACATGGGGCCCTTCTAAGTGTGAGACCCAGTGCGATTGTACAGGTAAGATGTCCATGAAATTGGCCCTTCAGCAGTAAAAGTAGTAGGTAAACGGCCAACATTAAAGCAGTGGAAGTGAGAGTGGAGAATAGAGAGTGGTAACACAATATGTTAAAGAGGTAAATCTACAGGCGTTGATTGATTAGCCATGATGGGTGAGTGGGCAGATAAAATACGGAATGTGCATTTCCTAATGGGGTGATGCCTGCCTTTCACTGACACGGGAAACCCAAGAGAAGAAGATTGTCCTTGAAGGGAAAATGATGAGTTCAGTTTTAAACATATTAACATCCAAATGGAGACATTCAGGTAGCACTTGGATATGTAAGTATCCATAGAAAAGGAGTTGGGGCACACACTCCAGAATGATAGTGCTGCTTACTCATTCTGAGGTTGAGGACCAGGATAAAGGGGGGTGATTGGCTGGGGACTTTAACCTTTTAAAGAAAGTCTTCATGTATTCCTTGTATCATTGAGAAATAATATTTTTATTAATGAAAATCAAGTCACAAAGTATTATTATATTTGTAAGAGAAAGGGAGTCAATCTGAAAATAAAAGTGTCAGAAGTTTAGAGTAAAAAGAAAGGCATTTATGATAGAGATTTGCAACCACATATTTTCTGTTGCTAGTACCACATTACACGTGTTTCAAAATAGGCTCTTAGTTTACTGTTCTTACATTTTTTTGAGCACCTACAATCAATTGTTTGTTCTACAGTGTATATAACTTTTTACAATTTAAAAAAAGATTTTATTTATTCATTTATTTACTTTAGAGAGAGGGGAAGGAAGAGAAAGAAAGGGAGAGAAACGTCAGTGTGCTGACCCTCTTGCAAGAGAGTCCCCAACAGGGGACCTGGCCCACAACCCAGACGTGTGCCCTGACTGGAAAGCAAACTGATGACCTTTCAGTTTGCAGGAGGATGCCCAAGGTACTGAGCCACACCAGTTTGGGCTACAGGGTATATAGCTTTAAGCACTTACCTTAAATTTTAGTTTTACTTTGTATCTCTGTTTTCTGATAATTGACATGTGAGCATTTCCATATTTTTATTGTATATTTTATAATGCTCCTTTCTTTCTATTACCTGTGTATTTTTTCTCGAGGGAGGTGATGGGGAAAGCCTGAAGGTAGAAGTCAGAAGGTCAGATAAGTTCTGCTTCTGTCTCTTGTTGGCTGTGTGATCTTGGGAAAATTATCCAGCTTCTCTGAGTATGGTTTCCTTATTGGTAAAATGGAGGTGAAATTAACCTTATTAGAGATGGGAAAATTAAATAAGACTATAAGGGAAAGTTCTTTGTAAACTCTAAATTTTATAAGTTCATACCCTTTAGTTCTGCACTGAGGGCCTTTCTTAGTGAGCTTCCCAGATTCATCTCCAAAAGCCTACCTTCTCAAACTCGTTTTCTCACCATCCCCAGAACATGCCTTATATTTTTCTTCCTCCTTAATATTGTTCTGATTCCTTCATTTAATCAGCAAGTGTTAGCACCTTACCTCCCTGAAGTCTTTATTTAAATGTCATCTTCTCAGTGAGGTCTACAGTGTTTACCCTATTCCGAGTTGCAATCTTCTGCTCCCCAACACTCCTAATCCCCCTTAGCTTGCTCTATTTTATTTCCATTACACTTATGACATAACACAATATTTACCTATCATCTCTTCTCTCCACACCCTCTTCCCACTAGAATTTAAATGGCACTTGGGCAGGGATCTTTGCTTTGTTTTATGATGTATCCCAGGCATCTAGAACACTGCTTGTTACAGAGTATGTACTGAATTGGAGGTTCTGATTGAACAAATGAATGACTATTCATTGTGTCAGACTTTTTAGCCAGACTCTGAGTACATAGTTGTGAAAAAGAAGAGCTGGCTTCTGCCCCCGTGGAGCATCCAGCCTAGCCTTATAGTCTGGTGGTTTTTCTGCCTGCCTGAACTGCCCTCCTCTGGGAGATGTCTGAGTGGCTAATGGTGAATTCTGAGTAGCCTTTCCTCTTAGCAGTGAGCAATTTTCAGGTAGTTTTGCTTTTAAGTTAAAAAAGAATGTAATATAAGGGCAGGGGCAGAGTAATGCATTCTATTTAGTTACTCTACATTAAAAGTCAACAGTTTTCCCTATTGCAAAGATAAGTATTCCCTTTAAAGTGCCAGGCCTTGCAGATAGCTGAAAGAGGTCATGGGGGTATATCTGGTTTATTTTCCTTCTTTCTGTTTCTTCCCTCCCTCCCTCCCTTCCTTCTTTCCTTCCTTCCTTCTCTCTCTTTTATTTTTTCACTTGAAGGAAGATGGTTGTAATTTTTCATATTATTGAAGAATGAGAGGATGTGCAGTAAACATGTTTATTCTTGTCTTTTTGTAATATTTTGGAATGCTTCATCCATGAGATCCTGACCATTTCTTGAGGTCCTCTGTATACAGTTTGTTAATCAGAGTTTTTATTGCTAGAATTCTTTCTTAAGAAAAGAGAAAACAAAAGGAACTTAAATTGAGTGTATTTAAAAATAATCTGCTGATCTAGCACACTTAACACAGTGTGTCAGCCATTATTCTTTCTCTCATTCTGTTCTTACACAGGCAACCACATAACCCAGGGAAACTCCAAGGCTGTGGGTACACCTGCAACATGGAGTGAAGAATTAAGGAAGAATACTGCTGCACAGGTATGCAACTGAACTAAATGATTTTTAATATTCCTCCTAACTCAGAGACTCTTGATCTAGATAATTTAAATTTCTAAGTCATGTTTGTTTTCATTTGTTTGAATAATCCAGTTGATAATGTTTTGTTACCATGTTTTGATAATGATATATGAAGTCTGCTCGGAAAAAGTCTAGCCATTGTTAATATAATGAGAATGGTTTGTGTGACGTTAATATAACCTGGCAGCCAAGGAGAGTGGACTGGAATGTACATGCATGAACAATGACGACTTCACTGTAGTAGTCAGTGGGAGTGGTAGATGCCATTGTGTGAGCATGTGTACTGTGTGGCTGTTACATTTGAGATGACTGAGTAGAGCAACAAATCTGCATCAAACTTTGTGTTAAACTTGAGCATTCCTCTGTAGAAACTATTTGGATGGTTCATAAGATCACAGCTATGGGCAACTGGTGACTGGCAGCTTCATCATGACAATGTGCCCACACATATCACGTCTCGTGCAGAGTTCTTTTGATGAAACATCAAATCACCCAGATGACTGAGCCCTACTACAGCCTAGATTTGGCACCCTGTGCCTTCTGGCTTTTCCCAAAATTAAAATCACCTTTGAAAGGGAAGCGATTTCACACCATTGACGAGACTCAGGAAAATACAACAGGGCAGCTGATGGCAACTGGGAGAACTGTGTGAGGTCCCAAGGTGCCTACTTTGAAGGGGACTGAGGCATCATTGTCCTATGTACAGTGTCCTTGTATCTTGTATCTTCTTCAATAAATGTTTCTATTTTTCATATTACATGGCTGGATACCTTCTGGATAGATCTCGTGCATCATTATTTTCTAGATAATTATTTTAATTCTTTTTTACCTTACATTGCTGTCAAATATCTTCTAACTTAAATTTGATATTCCATCTGAATTTTCTTTTCTGAACACAAATGCTGATGTAGATATGAATTGCTCTGCCCCATGATCTTTTTGTCAGGAAAAAAAATTGATAAGGGAAACTCTGGTGGCAATAACTTCAATTTGTTGTAAACAATTTCTATGGTGTCCCATAAACCCATGCAATGACATAAAAATGTATTCTGCAAGATTATTTTCAGCATCTTCTTGTACTTGTTAACAACTTAATTTTGTTTTAACAATTGCTACATTGTGAATAAACTCTAAAATATCCTCAATAAACAAAGCACAAAAGAAAAACTCAACTCAAGCAGTGACCCTTGTGCAAGGTCTCCTCTAATGCAGTGGACTGATTTATAAACCCTCTGGAATGGCCACATCACCTGGTGGACACATCTCTGTCATAGCATTTACGTAAATCTGTGTTTGTATGTACATTATAAATATTGATGGTGATATCTTCTCCCAGAAAGGGTTCATAGCCATTTCCTAAGATATAAGAAAAAACCCCAAAACAAAAATCACACATACACACACACAATGCAAGATGTCATAAGTTAAAAGGGCAGAGAATGAAGAACTGAAGCCAGAGACAAAGCTAAAAATGAGTATAGGAATGGCCTTCACAATTGCTGCAGCTGGGACATGAATTTGTCCCTAATCTGACAGCCTCACTGGTCCCACAATTCATGATATCCATAGATAAAAAACAAACCTGTTACTCTGGAGAAGTAAAACTATTCCCAGAACTGAGGTCAAATTGGACTGTCTCCCAGGGATACTCATACAGAAAACAGTGTGTTATCACGTGAGCAGCAGTGTCCTTGACAGCATTCCTGACCGGGTGGCCACTTCACAAGGCTGCCTCTTACAGCCTGATGGCAACACACCAGAAAGCAAGTCCATGGGTGGAAGCAACACTTGGGTGGTGGAGCACTGTCGCAGTGATCACGGCTCCATGGTGTTTTATCTCCTGCGCCTACCACAGTTACTGGCATATAGCAGGTGTCAAGACGTATTTTTTGAGTGAATGTCAAATGGAGAAGACCAGTGCAAAGACTCCTTAGAAAGATCCCCCGATTACCAAGAGCTAACACCCTGCTCCCCAACTCTGCAGTCCTTTTGTAGCTATCAAGAAATACAGTTATGAAATAGTTCTTCTACTGTTGGGTTAAACTGCCATTTCAATATTTTAATGCTAAATTTCTCATGTCGTCTCCAAATATGGGAGTGAGACTAGGGAATTTGTATGTGCGTGTTCATACTTGGTGGTGGTGGAGGTGTTGGGTCAGGAAAGTATGTCCTCATCAAATTGGGAAACCAGTTTGCAGGTCACCCAGGGAGTACTGTTGGCTTAGATACAAACTCCCACATCTGGCTGTCCTTCACAGCAGAGGCAGGGTTGGTCATGGTGCTACAGTGGGCCTTTGGCCATGAGTCTGTGCAATGGGAAGACCCAGTCACACGGCATAGTAGCACCAGCATTAAAAGAGACTCAGTGCTGAGCTAGCAGCTATTGACTCAGGGCTTTCAACAGTCCTGCAGGGGAACTGGGGTGAGTTGAGGTCACAGGTTAGGGTTTAGTCATTTTAGCTGCAGAGTTAGAGGCTTGGGATAGGGCTTGGCATAAGGGTCTTTCTTCCTGGTGGGTGTCATCGCCTCTCAGTTCTGACTGTTATCTTCCTGTTGTTATTGGTATTGTGGAGGTATTTCAGAGCAGGAACTTGGTCCCTGTGTGCAGCTTTCTTTTTGCATAGTCACAATGATGTCTATATCGTGATGAAGATGTACATCTTCTGTAGTGTAACTTTACCTTGTTCACACTTCAACAGCAATGGCTCTGTCAGAGCTAGGACAGTAAACTGGGAGAGAGTCTAGTGGTTAATAATGTGGGCTTTTGCCCTTGCTGGTGTGGCTCAGTGAATTGAGTGCTGGTCTGGAAACCAGGGAGTCACCGGTTCTGTTCCCAGTCAGGGCACATGCCTAGGTTACAGGCCAGGTCCCCTGTGGAGGATGTGCGAGAGGCAACCAGTTGATGTATCTCTCATACATTGATGTCTCTGTCTCTGTCTCTTCCCATCTCTCGAAAAATAAATAAATAAAATCTTTATATATATAAAAAAGAATATGGGTTTTGATGGAGGCCTGCACAGGTCCCAGCCTGTCCAGGGCTTGGGTTGCACTCTGTCTCATAAAGCAGAAGGGTTGTCTTCTGGGAAGACAGGATCATCTTCTCTGAAAAACCCTCCTGCAGAGTTGGCTTTAGCATCTTTTAGGAATAGGAAGGCGAGGACTGAGGACTCATGAATTTGGTTTTCATTTGACGTAGAGGGAGAAGGCAGTGGTTATAACCAGAAAATTCAGTGTGAGTTTCCTATAGAACCCATCACTATTAATCCAGTCTGGGCTCCATGACAGTTGTAGAAGTGGATTCCTTAATAATAAAATAGTAATAATACAGTTAAAAAAAAAGGAATATGGATCCTGGAAACTGATTCCCTGGGTTTAAGTCCTGGCCCTGCAACAAGCAAGTTACTTATCCTTTGTGTGCCTCAGTTTTCTCATCTGTAAGAAGGGATAATAGCCCTGGCTAGTGTGGCTCAGTGGATTGAGTGCTGACCTGTGAACCAAAGGGTCGCTGGTTCAATTCCCAGTCAGGGTATATGCCTGGGTTGCAGGCCAGGTCCCCAGTAGGGGGCATGTGAGAGGCAACCACATATTGATGTTTCTCTCCCTCTCTTTCTCCCTCCTATCCCCTCTCTAAAAAAAAATAAATAAAATCTTAAAAAAAAAATAAGTCAGCTTTCTTATTAGGGAAGTTGACCTTTGGCCCAAAGTTCAGACATTTCAGTGTTAAGAATGCCTTAAAAAAAATAGAAAAGAGAATGTTCTGGTTATCTAATGCTTTGTGACAAACTGCCCCCAGAATTGGTAGCTTAAAGTAACAACAGTCATTTATTTGCCCAAATTTCTGCAGGTAGCACAAAGCTTAGCAGGAATAGCTCACCTTGGTTCTGTGTGGTGATTGCTGGGATGTCTTGAGTAGGGCCAGAGAATCCTTCCAAGCTGGCTCACTCACATGTTGTCTGATGGCTGACAGCTCAGCTGGGGATGTTGGCCAGGGCCCGGTTCTCCTTCATGTGATCTCTTCACGTGGCTGAGTTGGGCTTCTACCAACACTGCAGCTGGGTTCTGAAGAGGATCACCCCAAGGAGACAGGCCACAATGTGTAAGCACCTATTAAAGCTAAAGCTCTGTTCACATCCTGCTTGTTAAGCCAAAACCAGTTAGTCTCTTGGCCAAGCCCAGAGTGGCAGGGGACTATACAAGAGTGGGAATTCTGAGGTGAGAATTGATAGGTTCTGGTAAAGTAATAGACTACCACAGAGAGAAAGGCTAAATTTACATTTCCTCTTTTTTAATCAAAGGATTAATTAATGTACTATTATACATTTTAACAATCTGTTTATTATTTATTTATATTTTTCCCTCCACAGAACCACCCCCATGCTGAGGTTATTTGGAGTGGGTCACAACCTGGGCCTGGAGTCTGCAATCTGAGGCACCCTTCTCTCATTTTGTGGCTGAGGTATGAGCATGGTCCAGGCAGAACTGGTGTGTGCTTTTGGATACTTCGGAAGGGGGAGCTAGGCACACCCATAAAGGAGGTCACACCTAGGAGGGCAGGCCGGAAGACAAATTATCTGGTTAAAGGCACTTTTATCTCACTAGGGGGCTGGCAGTTGGCTGGGAGTGTTTGTAAGGTTAGAGAGGAGCCATTTGATGGAAGTGTTATATGCGGGTTGCAGAGAGAAACGAAGGGAGCTCACCTACACTTGGCCATCTGCAGGTTCAGTAGCAGCTGCTGTACCCCTTGGCTGCCTCAAGGGGAAGGTGACATAGGCATCAAATTGGAAGAGGTATGCAGTGATTAGGCCCATCACCCCTGTGGTGATTTTGGAGTGGTTTCCTCTCTCAACGCGGACAACAATGGAGATGATCCAGCAGAGGATGGTCTGCTATGAGGGTTTGGAAGAAATCACTCCAAGGCCAGTTGAGGATCTCATTTTCTGAAAAAAGATTTTATTTTATTTTCACAGCAAGGGCAAGGGAGGAAGAGAGGGAGAGGAGCATTGATGTGGGACAGAAACATAGATCAGTTGCTTCTCGTATGCACCCCAACCTGGGACTAAATCCGCAGCCCAGACATGTGTCTGACTGGGATTTGAACTGGCAGCCTTTCAATCTGCAGGTTGATACTCAGCCCACTGAGCCACACCCGTCAGGGCCCACTTGATAGTCTTTATCTTGGTGTTCAGGTCTCACATGTAGATGACAAGACAGCAGCAAGAATCATCTCAACCACTGACAGAGAAGTATGCTGATGTGGAGGTGATGAAATAGAGCAGAATCAACAGGCACGCTATCTCAGCAAACAGCAGAATTCCCCAGAGGGTGCGTGTGAAGTTGGTGTAGGCAGCCCAAGCAGCCAGGGGTGAGGAACACTTGAAATCTGCCATGGCATGGGCCAGATTCTCTAGGAGCATAGATGATCCTTACTTTCTAAATCCATATTTTCTAATTTTTAATTTTTTTTCTCCTCAATTGCATATACCATATTCCCTATCTCTAAGATGTCAGGAGAAGTCACATAGATGGGAAGTAAGGTTTCTTCTGTATCAAAAGCCCTTTGGAGAGTGATTAAAAACTTTTGTTACAGGCCATATAATTTAGTGTGTTATAATTCTATGTAAGTAAGTAGACACTTTTCTCTGGCTGAAAGTGTGTGAAGAAAGAAAGCATAAATGTAATTAACTTATTTTGACATACAGAGCTGGAGTTTTGCTAGTGAAAGAGTGACAAGGTAGGAGGGTCCCAGGGTTATCTGAATAGTGTAAAAGCATACACATACACATTTTTTGTCCAGAGGAGGCAAGCCGTGGGGCATGCAAAAAGACAGTGGGAGACAGAACAGATTGGCAGGAAGGATACTGACAGGTTCAGGAGAGTAGAATAGGTCACAGGAAAGTCCGTGCAAGGTGAATGTACGCTGGAGCTGTGCTTGTCAGACTGAAAATTCTGTAAAGGGAGGGGCTGTGTCCAGCTTGTTGATTTCAACACCAAACTCACTGTCTAATAGACAGGAGGCACTCTTAAGTGGTAGTTAAATGGATACAGACACTAAGGTAGGAAGAAATTGCAGTTCTCTCTAAGTAAATAAATAGAATGACTGTTTGGAAAATATGTTACTTTGGTTGGAGGTCTCAGGGCTTAAAAAAAAGGTCACTCCTTTGATTAAAATCCTTTGATGTTTTCCCACCTCATGCTCAAGAAAGGCCAACAATATGCAAAATGTCTGCATCACTTTTTAAATTTACAGACTTAAATATCCCATTTACTAATTAATAAACCTTAATAGAACCAGTCATTTTTTTCCAGAAGCAGACACTGAGGCAAAGATTTGAGTGCCAGTCATTTGTTTAGGAGATGATCCCAAGAAGTGCCAGTCAGGTGTGGAGAAGTGAGTCAGGGATGGGAAGGAAGCCAGTGTGCAGGTTACCACTCTGGGCAACCGGGGCTCTTGCTGGAGACCCTCTGGGAGACAGTGTAGTACATGCTTCAAAGTTGTTCACCCCAGGGCTGCGGAAACAAGCTTACCCATCTACTTGTTCATAACATTTCACTACTGCTCCCAGCGTGTAAAGTCCCTCACTTCTGGCTTGTACGCAGTAAGAGAAGGCCCTTGGGGCCAGAGGAAGCTACAGGCAGAGTTGCAGGTGTTTGCAGTGAAGTTCTTGGATACATGAAACATGCAACTAATTTATAGCTCATTAGGTTCTGGTCTTATCCGTATTAAGTGACTTTTATTATTTGGCATCTGACCTAGGTCTGCCTACAAAGAAGAATGTCTTGCACTCTTTGAAACTGCCTCCAAAATAGCTTCTGAATCAGTCCACCTCCTGTCCAACCTCCTTTGTTCTACATCAGTAAACTCTTTTAACTGTTCTCGGTCTTTGTGTTTTGTCCTCCCCCAAATCCCTTCTTTCTCACAGAGCCACAGTTATCTTCATAACATTAAAATTGAATAATGTGTTCCTTGGTTAACTCTTCAGGGATTTTTCATTAAATGTAGCATGACCACACATACAATTTCAAAGTGGTTTACTATCTGAGCCTTGCTCAGATCTCACCGTTTTCATTTCACTACGTACTCTTCAGCTCCAATTTTTCAGACCAACTGAAAGAATATGTTAAAGGCCCTGCTGTAGAGCTTTTGTATATTCCCTTTTCTCAGCCTAGATAAGACCTGGGATATTCTACCACTAAGTATTCACTTTGTTTCCTTTTCATCTTTCTGCACTGTGTTTATTTTCCTTTCCTCAGATAGGTCTTTGCCAATACTTCTCTAAACTCCCTCCCATGCTATCCCCCGCAAACAAACAAAAAACCACAAAATTTCCGAGCTATACTCTATCCCAGAATTTTGCACTCTTGTTTCAGAGTAAATCTGTGGAACAGACTATTGCAGCCTCCCCAGGTTGGTACTCTGGCTCTAACTGCCTTTCCTTTAGACCAGAAGCCTCAAAGTTCAAAGAAAAGAAGGGCCTTAAGGGAGACAAGCAGGTTATATAAATGAGTGGGTGGAGACAGTAGCAAACTAGAGAGCACCTAGCAACCACTCACAATTCCAGCTATTTGTCACCAGAATTTGCTGAATTGATTGATTATTTTCCCCCTGCAGACCAAGAATCCTAATTTTCATGAGAGAACTTTGAATTTTTAACTGTTGGAATTAAAAAAACAACAACAAATGCCCGCCCCCCTCCCCCCTCCCCTGCCATAAGCAGAACAGCCAGAACTATTTTGAAAAAGGGAGAAGTGGGAGGTCTCATCCTTCCTGGTTTCAAAAGTTATTGCAGAGCTACAGTAATCAAATCAGGGTGGTTCTGGCATAAAGACAGAAACAATGAGCAATGTAATAGAACAAAGAACCCAGAAATAAACCCAGTCAGATGATTTTCAAGGATTCCAAGGGAAAAAACCCTCAAAAGGCCTGAGTTGGCCAACAAAAGAAGTTTATCATGGTGTACAGTTTGAAGCCTTTGTCTTCCATCAGTGAATCTCAGATTCACTTGGGCATGCATCAGGATAGCCTAAAACAGGTTGCTGGGATCCACCCCCAGATTTCTGAATCAGTAAGGTGGGGGTGAAGCCTGAGAATTTGCATTCCTAACAAGTTCCCAGGTGTGAGGCAACTGCTACAGATCCGACATGGGTCTACATTAGATAATACTACAGACTACTCTCTTTATTTCTGTTATCTGTGATAAATCTTTGGTTTTGGAGTCTGTGAAAGTCTAGTGTCTGCCATGTCCTTAGCGATGCATTGTGCCATGTCCCTCTGCTTCTCTGGCCAATAGTATGTTGTACCAGGGGTGTACAACCTTCTGGTGTCTCTGGGCCACACTGGAAGAAGAAAATTTGTCTTGGGCCACACACTGAATATACAGACACTCATGAAAACTGATGAAGAAAAAAAATGTTTTAAGTAAATTTACAATTTTGTGTTGGGCTGCATTCATAGCCATCCTGGGTGGCATGTGGCTCGTGGGCTTTGAGTTGGACACCCCTGCATGTACACAAAGGGCTAGACCTAATAGGCTTGGCATGGAAATTCTGCCCAATTTTGCACAATATCTGGTGAATAATCCAATTAGAATAATTCCATCCAACTTTAAATGCAAGACACAGGAAGGCAGGTCAGGTAGAAGCAGAGACTAAAAGAAGCTTAATTCTGATGGAACAACGAAACTAGTTAAGTCCACAGAGTTGCCTCTTTTTATCTTGAGCAGTATGAACCACATTGCACCACCGTGAGGCCCGTGAGGCCCATGTGGCTGCTGAGGTGCTTCCTGTGCTTCCCCACTTCCTGGTGTGACCCTAATGTAAACTTGCATTTCTCTGCTGACAGACAAGTCTCTCTTCCGTGTTTCCTGGAAGATTCTCCCACCCTCTGTTTTGATAGCTCTGGTATCTTCATAACACTGAGTTTCTGCTTTTCTATGGAAGGAAACAATATTCCATTTTGATCAAGAAGTGTGATTCCTTAAGGATGAGTTTCTTTTGAGTTTAAGAAAAAGTATGAACTGCGCCTTCATCCATAAGAGGAATTTCTCTATCTGCCAAAATGCCTTCTAGTGATTGCAATACATGACTCTGAGGGAACATCCTGGGATTGCTACAAAAATCTGGAAACAGCTTATCCCAGCATGTAGCTTGTCTCTTCCTTGATTGACCCCACCCCCCCAGCCAGTTCATTTAGTGGACAGCATTAAAAAAAGTCCTAGCAGGTTTCTTTACCTCTAGCCTCACCAGTCCTTTCTGCCCTGAAAAAGGAGAAAGCAGACTGTAGTTCTGAAAGGGGGCGGGGAAAAATGCTACAAACAGGTACTGTCTACAATGGAAAACTGGGCCTTACTAAAGGTAGTGGGTTCCTTACCAGGGAACTGTCAACAGGCTGCACTGCTGCCTAGAAATGGCCACAGAGGGGATAGCTGCCTCAGGTGTCTCCCAACTCAGGACTGAGAG